GGGGGAGAGTGTAGGGCAGGGGGGGCGAGCAAACAGTCCAGTGTTGTCAGTGAGCGATGATGCCGCCGCTTTCGCCCCTGATCCAGGCTCTTAAACGCTGCCACGGCTAAATCTGGCCATGTGTGTCTGCGACCTGAGGGACTGGGCCTGCCAGCCCAGCGACTTAATCTCTCCCTCTCCGCTCTCTTCGCTACCCTCCTCCGCCCAAATGCTCTTTGCTTCTGCCAGCGCAGCCGTTCTTGCTTCCTCTTCCACCCCCCTCCTCTGTCCACCCCCTCCTCTAATGGCATTCTTCAAGAGCCGGGCCCTGTCGCACTGCCCGCTCCCAGTCGCTTAATTAAAAAGCTCCCGCCGCACTGTTTACGTGACCGATGGCTGTTAAATTAAGACACACTGGGCTGCGGGGGTACCGACCTGCGAGTCGTGATGCGAGGGTGAGGCCTTGGAATCATGAGCCGAAAAGATCCCTTTTGTGAGTTTCTACTGTTATGAAATAAACTCTACCTCGTTAAAGCGATGCCTTTAAGAGGCTAGCAGTCTGGCAAGTGCTTATAAGATGTGTTATACAGAGGTTGATTTTAATAGGGCTTAATATATGCAGGGGCTAAAGCAACATTTATATGTCTTGAACAAAAGGGTAAAATACCGTCAGGGGTGAGAAAGTGATTTGTTCACGCTCTGACTGCGAATTCAGGGTACATGCCAAGCCTTCCTTGGGTGTAAAGGAATCAAATATACACAATTTACCCCAAATGTAGTCAATTTGCCAAGAGATGCTTAGTGTCAGAAGTTTGTTTCCTTAGTTTTGCACTGAAACTGAGCAGCTAATGTAGCTGACAAGCAACGGAAGCTTAGCACCACCACAAACTGCATGCCTACATCATCCCACATGCCCCAAACCACGCTGAGGTGTTGCTCAGGCTCAAGTATATTAGTATCACTATACTATAATACTATGTAACATACTGTTATATATACCTAACTGACAAAAGTATGGACAAAATTCAGGGTTCAAAATTAGTGCTACTGTTTTTAGCTTTGTAATGTACTTTTTTAAACAAGAATGCTGTTGTCTTTTCTAACTAAGGAACCACATTAACACATTCATTATAGATTGTTTAACAACTCAATGTAGTTTGATTAAAGTGTACAATGATTCAGACATACAGTTTGCACAATGCTAACTGGTAGCTATAAGCTTCCTTTGCTTATTAGCAACATTAGCCTCATAGCTAGTGAAAACCAAAGAAGCAAACTTTGGACACCAAATGTCTTGGCTTGTTGCGGTAAGGGGTAAATTGAGTAAATGTAATTTTGACCACTATTTCTTTAAGGGAACATGCACTAAAAAAGCATAAATGTTGTAGGTAACACAAGTGCAGAGGAGAAGCAGGAATATAAGCTTTATTTCCTCAATAGTGATAGCCTGCTGAGATACTTCTTGGAAATAAATACTCTCAAGCCAGCTTCAGCATAATCTCCATCAGTTATACTCATTACCCCCACACAGCCCACTCCACCACCCCTCCCTAAGAGGAGCTAAAAAGCACCGGCGTTCTTACACACACACACACACACACACACACACACACACACACAGTCAAATTAGCAACTCTCTTCTCCAGGTCCATGTGCCTTGACTTTGTCTTTGTGCAGCAGATCGGCAGGGTTAATGTATGTTAATGTATCATTTATAAAGGAGCTTGTTAGTGTGTTTTGCAGGCTGCTGCTTTGTAAAACAATTGCGAGCCCCGCCGAGCCAGGCGGTTGGTTGGAGGCGGGTGAGAAAGGCAGGCGGCCGTTCAAAAGAGCTCCCCGCCCGTAATAGGGCCAGCCCTCCACAAGGCTGCCACCTTCTCATACCTGCTGTCCCTGGCCGCCTTTTTCCGGAAACTCAACGGCAGATGTTGCGGAGCTAAGTTGGGCTCTGAAGTGCCTCTCCGGCTCCCCAGTCTCCCCCGACAACACAGTCAAACCGCATTAGATCTCTTTATTTGCGCCCCAGGCAAGTTCGGCAGTGCAGCTGTGTCCACCCCTGCCTCTACCTTTGGTGTTGGAGCCCCTCAGGCGGTAAATGTGAGACCAGAAAGTGTTCGGGCTGCCTCGGAAAAAAAAAGCTACATCTGCTGACAATCCAGCAGTCTTGGCTGCAGGCGGAGTTGGGGGAGAAGGGGAGGGGGGTTGAGTGAAGCAGGGGAGGTGGTGGGTTGGGGGGGTACGGACCCCAGGGTCCGGGAGCTGAACAGATGTCTGCGACAACCTGCTTCCTTACACCTGTACGAGTCCTTGTAACCCAGCAATCCGCTGCTGAAAAATTCATGACCCTGGAGGGTTCCTGTCGGCCATCAAAGCCCCCTGCTCTCTCCACACGGGCCCACCCTGCCTCTGCTCCTGGCTCCGGCGGGGGACTCCTCAGGCTTTGATAGCTCATGCCTGGGCCCAGTGCACCTGATCAAGGGCTTGAAAGTCGAGCTGTGGCCTGACTGAAGCGTGCCAGGGACTTGCTTCAAGTCTTCCAATGGTTTCCGGTCCCTCCTCCCTTCCCCGCCTCTCAGGTTTGCTTGGAGTTATTGGGTTTTCAGTACTTTGTTCAGAGAAAAAAAGTGAACATGACTGGAATATTTCCACTGAACAAAAAGAACAATTAACACGGAAGATAGAGGGTGATATTTGGACGGGAATCCTGCGGGGCTCACAGGACCCAGAGGAGTTGCCTTCGTAGAAACAACAGGGAAATCGTATCCCCTCCCACGGGATATGAGGGTGGAGGAGTACAAATCAACGGGAGCAAGCATAAGAGGATTGAATTTGAAATGTGGTGGCCAGAAATGGGCAAGGAAAACAATGAATGTAAGACTGTATAGCACAGCAAGTCCACAAAAATGTTTATGCTTTAACAAGGCTCACTCCTTAGCACAGGATGCACTTGTTGATTACTGCCTTATACTAGAGATACTAGCCCGACCATTACAATAAGAGTGCCTCAGGTCCCAACTATCATTAGCTTCCCCAAAATACCTGACAGTACGATTTCACTGAAGGACTGATGTAGTTCCTGTCTGAAAGGTTGCAGGTACCATGCAAGCAAAAAAAAGTAAATCATGCTTTGCCATGTCTCTATGGCTTTATCTGCTCTAACAAACATACTGACAACAAGCACTTTTTTCCAAATGGCAGGACTGATTCCACTGCTGTCCCTCTCCTGTTTGTCCAGGTAATACCGATACCTGCAAACTGAGGCTAACTGGTTATATGTTTGTTCTCTAAAGTTAACACACTACTTCGGAAATAATAAGACTTTCCTCTTTCTGTTCTTCTTCCTCTTTTTGTTTCTTCCTCTATTTATAGCACCAATTGCACATTGTTTTCTTTTTAATTTTGAACTTCCTATTATTGTCAACCTTGTAAGACATAAGACTAATAATATAATGTATCATTATTATCTTGTTACTGTAAAATAATAAGCCCAATTCAGAGTGCTCACACTTTGTTTAGTTTTGCTATTACAGTATTTTCAGTATTATTGTTGGCTGGCCACATCATACCTAATTGCAGAGTTTTTCCCTCCATTTGTTACACTACAAGGGCCTCTCCAAGAGCATGTAATATGTAACAAAAGACTAACGTAGAAAAGTAGATAAGGGGGTGATTGTGCATTCATCAAGCTATCAAACTAAAGAATCTACACTTCCTGACTGTTATCAAAACTGTTAGTGATATCAATATTAATTTCAATCATCTAAAAATCCAACAACTGATATTGGCTGCTATAATTTTATAATGTCAAAAATTAGACAGTTTGTTAAACAGATGACTTATATGATTGCCAGTTATATATGACAATATGACAACAGATCACAAATGTCAGACTTCAACTCACAAAACAAGCCACTTAGAAATAACTTTGTAACATAACAACATAAGAATGTCAGGGAGAAGCAAAATGCTGCCGGTGGTCCTATCACAATTATTACATAATCACCGGATCAAAATTATTTGAGCCGACTGCAATTATTCAAGCTGATTGCAACTATTTTCCACAATTGTTAGCTTTCACAATCATGTGTTTATAACACAACAAACTGACTGCGTGTTTTTATCAATTCTGTTGAGGCAAATACATGAAAGAAAGCGGAATCAGTTACTGAGATGTAATGGGTCTTACAAAAACAAAACAAAAAAAAATTCTAAGTGCTATAACACCTTTAGAGGGGAGTGGAGAGTAACGTTTGTTTATATGAATTCAAGCTGTTTCCCTCATCAGATGAGAACTAGTAAGTATTGACAGCTAGAAAGCAAGATGGCAATTGAACCAGTGTCAGGCTAATTTTAATGTCATTTACAATTATTTATTACACAGTTAATCTCCAGCTAAAACCTCATGATTGTGTGCCATACAAAATAATGCTGAATCACAGAGGTCACTTTTCTATAACATATTTCAGTATGTTCCTCTCATGTAGCTGGCTGGACGTCTATGCCAAGCAGCAGGACTATTAGCCAAATAGTTGTCTCACTTAGAGGACGCTACAAAGAAGTTCAACAATAACTAGTATTTACTAGGCAATATTGAAAACTACAGACAGCTCTTACTGTTCACATGCCACGTCCTAAATTCATCTGTGTCTATGTTTCTCACAAGACTGTGTTGTTTGTATATGTCGTTCAGCAGGCTACAGTTCTAAGCCCTGCAGCATTTTACCATATATGGCTGTGACTGTCATATCCTGCCCTGAGTGTCTGCAGCTGTTTTTTGGTGTGATGCAGTGCATATACACAAACACGCACATGCACAGACACATGGCTTCCTGTGGTTTTGTGCAAAAAAAATACAAATAAAAAAAAAAACAACAAAAAAAAAGACCCTGCTACACTGAATTACTTTGCATATCCCAGACTGCATAATTAGATTTTAATGCTAGTGTGGTAGTTTTAGTACTAATACCATGGCTTCCCTCTTCCTTGTTTATACATAACCTCACTGGGTTTCAGTGGCCTACCTTATCCGCATTAGTTGGCCGCATAAGGGAAACTCGGTCATATTGTCTCCGCAGCAGTGCCCAAAGTGCATCAAGACGACCCTGTATAGTGAGAAGATCAACATCAGTGAGGTTAAACAGTGCTCCCATATTTATATATGAAAAGATTATGCTGCCTGTCAAAAGAGTGGTATGATGCTAAAAGCTAAACATAAATAAAAAAAGAGTAATTAAGACTTTTTAGTCAATAATTTCTATAAATGAATCTATAAGAACTTTCAAACATGTAATTTATGTAGTTATGTGAGAGAAAAACAAAAGTGTGGGCCTGATTTGCAACCAAAATTTTGGGCGAAATCATCAAAAGTGGCACTTTTGGTTTTTAGCCAAAAGAGAAAGAAAGTAAAAACAAATGTAACCGAATAAAGATTAAATATGCCAACACTGAAGGTCAAACTAAGATTTTACATATAATTTATTAGGATTTTACTGTTATTATTTAATGGCAATGAAAATGAGAAATAGCAAATAAAAATGCTATTTTGCTTCGCTCACATGCTGTTCAGCACAGATATGTTCAAACAGTTTGAACAGCAGCAGATCAACAGTGAAACTGAAAGCCAATTTAACTGTTAACATTTTCTGCAAGGTACAGGAGGCAAGAAATCTATAATCAACGTTCAGATAAAGTAATAAGAGGGAGTACAACATTCAAGAACCTCTGCAGAATTGTTACTACTTGAAAATACAACATCCCAGTCGATACACAGAATACAGGAAAACTCTAAAAATGTCAAGTACAGCCTTGAAAGAAGAACTGTTGTTGAAGATGCTGAATGCTGTAGCCTACATACTGTAGTAATTTTAGTACATTTATTTTAAATGAGTTTATTTATGTAAACTCTTTATTTATTGCCAGCTTGTTTCGGTTTTTGGTTTTCAGACAAGGATTTTCATATCATCACTTATAGAAAGCGGATTGGATGCTGCCATTTGTCCCCTTGTTGAGTACTCATCAGAACTTTATAGCTGTTTAAACTAACTTTGTGCCAAAACAATTTAAATATGTGCTTTCAACAACGGTTTTGAAAAAAAAAGGTAGAAAGTAACACTGTAAACCAAACATTACTTGCAAAACAAGGTGAAGGCAAGGTGTCCTCAAACTTTTGATGTGAAACGCAGCTGTGGTGTGAATAAACTCACCTTAATTGGTGTGTACCACTTAGTCTCTGGATGATGGTAGGAGGATGCAGGTGCCGAGGGCTTTTTGATCATAGGCTCTTCCACCTCTTCCGGCATTGACACCACTGCGTTTTTGGCCATCTCCAGTCTCGCCCCCTCCTCTGTGGAGCCCTTTTCACCCCAACGCACCTGGATATTAAAGCAGTCGCCTGGTTATCTCATTTAAAGAGTAAAACTGGTTCAACCTTTATCCTATGATAGTTTATTTTATTGACATCTCTCACAGCTCAAATGACGTACCATGAATGTTAAAACAATCGACTACAGTGACTCCATTTCTGACTTCACGCTGCACCGTATGGCCGCTTTGTCTCAAACATCTTGTGCCTTTAATGCAATTCATCACATCTGTCACTGCTGTAAATCCTCCAGCACGTAAACAGGGGTATAAGTTTAATTAAGACGGTGCGTTTAAGCTGTAGGTTAAGCCACTACAATACAGAACAGCTTTTCTGCATCATCTATGGATATCTTGGGCCGGTAAAGAAAAAAAAAAAGAATAGAACTCTCTCAATGAATAAAACATTTCCCATGCTGCAGATCTCCCTAGATGCATGTCAGTGTGGGCTCTAAGTGGAAAGAAAGGACAGGTTGATGTTAGGCGCACCTCTCCCCAGGTCCACAGAGGAAGCCTCAGAAATGGAGATGGGGCCTGTCTGAGCGAATAAAAGCTCCGGGTGTTAAAGAAAGGGGGAAAAAAGCATCACTCGCTGGCCAGACTCCTGGGAAAAGTTGGAGATGAGGTTTCCCTAAGGTTTTGCCGGCAACCGCGGCGACGCCGCCTCTTCATGGGGCCGTGGAGGAAGGGTAGCGGTGCGTGGAGCAGTGCCACTCCCCTTTGAGCAGGAGACAGCAATGAGCGGTGCATTATGGCTGAACAAAAGGGACTGACAGGATGGGAGTCCATGAGATGAATTCATTAAGGCTAGCACAGCGGATCCTGAGCCTTCATCGTCAGCATGACTTAAGAGAACGGGACGTGGCGGAAGCCGAACTGGCAGGAACCCATCACGTCACAGGCGTCAGTCAAGGTGTTCTAGATCTGAGGAGACTTCTGTTGAAAACTTTCAGAGGGGGGGGTGCAAGGCTTTTCTCTTCTTGACACAAAGAGTACGCTCACTTATATGGATCAAAAGAGAGCAATATGCTTGCATTTTCAGGTTTCTTTTGAAAAACTTACTAGATTTTCTTTTGTGTCCTAAGTTTGCTTCCTCAGCTAGTTCTGCACTGGTGCTACAAGGCTAATATAGCTAACAAAGGGACAAAAGTGTAGACAAAAGCTTCTTTTTCAATACTAAACATGCCCTCGCTAACTTTGACCATCACTCTGAAGTGAGTCACACCTGAATACTGAATTGGCTACTTGCAGCACAATAGGAGGAGAGGACAGTGGATTATTCAGTCAGAGTGCATTCACCCTCGGCTAGGTTAGCCTTAGTGAGCCAATTAGCTAGCCATGCAAACACTGCAATGAACAACGGTTTTGAGAAGTCTAAAGAGAGCACACATCCATTTTATGAATAATTGCTTTGTCTGGTAATAAGCTTTGGTTTAAAGTTGTGGTGTACTGCCTTTTTTTATTGTTGCTAGCTGACTAACCTTTTACTTGCTAATTAGCAAGCTAGCATAGTAAACTGATGAAGTTTTATCAGCTGCAATGTGTAACAAATGGAGTAGTTTGCTACCTAAAACCTAAAAATTTCACACATAGAAAATCTATAGCTATATAGCTTTATGGCTTATAGCTTTGAAATATGAAATATTTAAAAGTATTGTGTTGCTATGGCTTATTTTACAAGCGAATTGAGTCCAGCTGCACTGATTTCCGGGAAAGCTCTGCTGCTGAAGTCAGCGCTTGTTGGGGATTCCCCTGAGGAGAAACAGCAAGGCAAAGTTGGTGGGGTATACGTTTCAATTACTTTTGAGTTATATTAGCTTTGTAGCTCCTGCGATAACCATGGCTGACTGACTACATTTGGGGAAAGGAAAAATACATGCATTATGGCATTGTGAAAACCAAAGGTGGGTTTGAGCAGCATAGTGCTGCAAGACAAAGGCCTCTAAATATTAAAAATGAACGGTCATCAGAGATCTGAGTGCATTGGACAGCCAAAAAGAGAGCTTTTCAGTGTTCACCTCCATGCGTTTGATTCCACCGGCTCCTCTTCCTCCATAATAAGACGCGTCCACAGTTGGCCATTTCTTCTTGGGCAGTGGGTCTTCCTCTGGTTTCTGGAAAATGAGAGCATTAACATTTATTACCGATACACACTCACAAAAACAAGAAAACAACAGCAGATACTACAAATCAACTATTATACAAACTTAATAGAAATCCATAATGCAGGAATGACAAACTTCGTATATTTAGTATATTTATTGTACTCACAGGTGGTGGTGGAGGAGGGCGTTTAGGAGGTGGATCTTTAATGACCTGGTGTACAAAAAAACATTTTGATTATTTTTAAGTAGTGTAAGACATCACATATATATATAGTATATATATATATATATATACACTATATAAAATTTTGACAATGAGCAATGTGTTGCTGTTGTCATCATAACTAAACGGTAAGTTTAATGTACATTTATATAATATTTTCTTCCAAGTAATTATGGACCATTATTATCAGTCTATAAAATAAATAAATTATGGGAAAAAAGGGTGTTAGGAGACTTTGATAATGCAGTGACAACATACATATATTTTTCTTTGTTTGGAGTGTTACTGTCACACATTTTGACACTACGCACATAAAGATACTGTGCAAAAGTCAGAGATCATTAATTTATTTAATTTCCAGGAAATTACACAGCAACCTCAACAGCTAAATGTAATATCTTTTTTTTTAGTGTTTAGTGTGTCCACCCTTTGCCTTTATTACAGCTTCCATTCTTTTTGGGAGACTTGCTTTTAGTTTTTTAAAGAAATCTGCAGGAAAAGTTCAGTCTTAGAAGTTGGTTGCATTTTCTGTTTCTCACGACCCAAAGAAATTGCAAACACCTTAAATGATGTTAAGATCTGGACTCTGGGGTGGTCAGTCCATTGTTCTGAGAATTTGCTTTTCTCAGTAACAGCTTCTTGACAGCTACACATCCTTTCTGACTCATAGTGTTGAGTTGTCTTCTCACAGTGGAAGGATGGACAGAAACACCTGTGGATTTTTTCAGATTTGAAGCAAGTGGAGCTTGATTTTCTTCTCTCTCTCAAAGACGAAAGCTTTAAGTACAGTTTTGATGATCTACCAGGTCCTGTATGAGTCCCATTTTATCTATATCTTTTTTTTGACGTTACCCTTCCTTAGGCATTATCTTAAATCTACTTTCCTCAGAAATATTTCCAGAGAAATGGCCATTTTGACTGGATATTACATAAATGAAGGGTGGTCTCTGACATTCTACTCAGTACTGTATGTATATTTTTTCCTTCCGTGTGAACAGACACTGCCTGAAATTAAGTAATAACTCATCAGCGCTAATAAATGTACTCGGTATGCAGAAGAAACGCTGTTTCTTGGTTTCCGTACACAGACTCCGAGGAGCAGATTTACAATTGAACAACTGGAGCCTGGCACCTCCCTGCACAGTTGATTACAGGGCTCTGCTTGTAAACCAACACAGTGGGCCCCTGGTGCAAAATAAAGAAAAGCTCAAAATCAACTTGTTGACAGGGGAGTCTTTGGGGTGAGCATGGCAGCCCGTTTATCTCTTAATTAATTGGATGAGGTTCAGCGCTCCCCAGCAATCCCCCAATCATAAGTCCTAAGGAGTTAATTAGCTCCAATGATATGCGGAAGGGAGGCTCAGGCTGCGCTCCAGACCCCGTCTGGAAGAGGAGTGCCTTGTCCCCCGGTGGAAGGGAGAGACACGTGTGTACACACACACACACACACACACACACACACACACATACACACACACATCCTGTCAGAATGAACAGAAAAAAAAGTCCTTCTGCAGCACTGTTTGTGACACTATATGTGTCATGGCAAAATCTGACTTAAAAAAAAACGTTTCCAGGATGCGACTTCACTCGCAAACAAGATGTCGTCACTGTAAATGCGCGTGGTAAGCACCAGGGCTGCACTGCTGAAGATTAAGCAAAAGATTTTCTCAGCAGATATGACACCTCTAACCAAAACACTGCTTCTGAATCCTAAGGGAGGATAGCCATGCTACAGAAAAATGGTAAGCTCTTGGACATCATGATCCCTGTCAGTGCTAACAAAATCATCATGTTATTTCTTAGTAATTATTCCTCACTCGTAGCTAATTGAAGCAAGCGTAGGATCAATCAATAGCACGGTTCTAACAACCGTGCAAAACCTGGTGGACCACCAAAACTGTCACCATCAGATAAACAATATTTTAAGCTTTCATCTTTGAGAGAGAGGAGAAATTCAAGCTCCACTCTTGCTTCAGCTTTTAAAAAATCTGTTTGTGTCCATCCTCCCACTGTGTGAAGACAATGCAACACTATGGGTCTAAAAGTGTACGTGTCAAAAAGTCTTTACTGAAAAAAAGAAAAACAGAGGACATTTTGCAAATTAAAACAGAAGAAGTGTTGCAAATCAATAACACTGCGGGGGTTCTCAGAACACTGGACTGACCACCCCAGCGTCCAGACCTCAACATCTTTGAATGTGTTTGTGATTACCTGATCATGGGATTTTGAGAAGCAGACAATGCAACTATTAAAACTATTAAACTAACGTCTAAGGGTTTGGAAGTGTGGAAAAATATTGTTGCAGATTTCTTGATGAAAAAAAATGAAAACCATGAAAACAATGAAAGCAAGTCTCCTTAAAAGACTGAAAGCTGTAATAAAGGCAAAGAGTGGACAAATTGAGCACTGAAAATTTTGATATTATATTTAGTTGTTGAGGCTTCTGTTTAATACGTTTCACCTTTTTCCTGATGCTGAAAAATGAATAACTTGTGTTTTTGAGCAGAAATTAAATAACTGAAGGGTGGTTTCTGACTTTTGCATGAAACTGTATCTGTGTCTGTTACAATATAAAATATGTTCAATATCAGTGCTTTATCTGTAGAATGTTAGGTGAAATTGCAGATTTATGGGACCTCAAAATCATTGGATATAGATATATCAGTCGAGCGCTAACCAATACCACAACTGTGTTTATAAGCAGAAGAGGAGGATATCTTATTATGATCTAAATTTTTCAGAAAAGTGCCTGTTGTACGTACAAAATCACTATGCAGAAAAGAAAACCATGCTTCACATTTTTAGAATGTTTTTGCCATTATTTGAAATAGTGGCAAACAGAAATAGAAGGACAAAGTGTATATATAGAATGTAGATCTAATGTAAATGTAACTAAATAACTAGTAATTAGCATGGCAAATAATAATAATAATAATAATGATAATAATAATAATAATAATAATGATAATAAATACAGGCAGAGCTAGACTTATATGATTAGCCTATTCGCTCATTCTGATCATCTTTCAACTCTTTTCCTTGCGTAGGCACTCGAAAGCAAGAAGCAGGCCTTGTCCAATTACTCAAGAAAGATGGATAGGCCACTGCTTGCAGGTTATGCATTTAGGAAATTAGTTTTCGGAAAACCGCTTCGTAATTATCACATATCATAGGTCGGAACAGCTGTTTCACTCACATTAAAGCACATTGATACCATTACACCACTGTTGTCATTATAATAATGGAAAATGATCAATTAGAGTTAATTAATTGCTCTTTGACTCATAAATGACTGTTGGCAAATCCATGAACGCCTGTCGGTGGGGGCCGTGCATAGCAATGATTAACATATTTTTAGGGAGAACCTTCGGCTAAAGGATTAGCTCTTTTATTGAGTAATTAAGCGGCAGATTTATATTTCCCCGACATATTGTGGGATAAATAAGGCATTACACAAATGACATGCCGGGCTGTTAGGTCTTCAAACTACCTGACGGACAGATGTGGCACAGACACAAACCCTCAGAAACGTGGTTCGGGACGATAAAGTAGTACTGTAATTAAATCCAAAACCACTGAATACTTAGCCATCTGACACTCGCCTGAGCGGCTAAAAGCCACCGCTGGAAAACCGACCAATCGGATGCCGCAGGGGCAACAACCCCATATGGCTTTGGGATAATTGTCCAATTGGAGTTTATAATCTGTCCCGTTTCTCCCTGCTACGGACCATGTTGTGTCAAGCTGTTTCCCAGCTTAAAGCGGTCGCGGATAAATGGCAGGTAGCATATTTGCAAATTAAAATGCATTTCCATTCACATGAAATTAACCTATTTGTGGGAAAACATCCACTTAATAATCCAGGAGGGCACGTTTTGGGGACACAGCAAAATAAACATACATAACTGCAGTTATACAACTGTAGCTCTAAAAAAGTTCTGTAGTTCTAAATCTAATGGTAAATTTTTTGTGCTCTGCACTGAACTGTGAAAAACACGAGCTTTACAAAATACTTAATTGTGCCGCAGTGCAAATGTTAACACTATTTGGCCCTCTACATCCTTTCAAGTCCCAAAATCAAGTCTAACTCACAACACCCACACTCAGCCTCCAACCTGACAGCGCAGTGAATCCAGGAAAAGGAGGGAAAAACGGGAGGAGGCTGGGGGAGGATGGCTCAGCGCTGAATATATCTAACTGCTGAAAAACTGGCATGGGCGAGTTTAAATATTAACAAAGCACACATGGCCCTTCTCTTCTGCCGGAGGTCCCTGATGGAGGGAGGCAGCAGCTCCTCTACCAAGACAAGCAGGGCCTCGTCCAGACATGCTGCAGGGGGTTTACATTTTAATGCCTTTGTTGGTTTTCCAAAATATGCTTCCATCTCATCCTGGACGAGCTCCCGCCAGGTTCTCAAAGAGAGGTGGCGCATATCATTTTGGGGGCCGCCGTGACGGCGATCGCTCTAGTTCCTCTTGCCAGCTTCCAGAAGCGTAGACTTTTTCTAAGCGCGCCATTTGTACATCACTCCCCTGGTTAAGCCTCTGAAGTGTTGCTGCTTTCCTTTCGCTTAAAAGTGGGAGTAAACTTTCCTGTGAGTTTTTGACTTTGAAAACATTTGTATATAGATTATCGTATTATCATACATTAATGCTTAGGAGTCACAGTTATCGCTGGTGATGACAAAAACATGGTGTGTGGTTTGATATTATTTATTTCCTCACTCACACCTCACTGAAACAAGTGGAAAAAAATGTGCTGAAAATTCAGCTTCTAACTTTTCAATCTAAATCAGATGTGCACCGATCATGATATGAAGTATGATTTTGACTGCTTTACAGCCAAGTTGGCCAATAGGCAATTTTTTTTTTAACCTAAAACTCACACTGTGTGGACTAAAACAATGCATGAGCATATTGGTACATTTCCAGTACTTTCTATTAGCCAACGTTGCAACACAAATAACATTATTTGCTTTTAAATGCACCAAACTAGCATTTCAAATTACTAAATGAAAAAACAGCTGCCTATTTAAATAACATGAATCAAATACTACATAAAACATCACAGGCAACTTACCTGGCTCAAAATATTTACACCATAAATCAGAACATAGATCGGCCAAAATCAATACATTATAATAAACTGGAAGGTGGCCGACCGCATGTTTGGAACAAAAATCTGATTTGAATCATGCTCACTTAATTGATCCCAGATTTTTTTTATGCGAACTTGATGAAAAGTTATGGCCATACTTTGTGGAAAGAAAGATCATCCTTTACATCATTGGTTCTCAAATTGGTCCTCAAGGACCCCCAGACAGTCCAGCTTTTTGCTCCAACCCAGCTCGCAACATACAGGAATAGAGAAAAAAAATGTGGACAGTCTGTGGGTCCCTGAAGACGGGTTTGAGAACCGCTACTTTACATTTTTCCATGTTTTTGTCATCTTCTGACTTTGAAACAAATGAAAATAAGTGAAAACTCAAACATGTCAATACAAAATATAAGTATAGTCCTAACTATGTAATTAATTATGTGATCATAGTTAAACAGTTTGGCAAACTATGTAATTAATTATAAAATGACATTAAATAATGTCACAAAACAACAATAACATATTTTGCTGAAAAGCAGTGTAGCTCAGCATTGTTGCAGCACATGGTTTTTGTGGTTTCATGTACAAAACAGCCTTGTATTTCTCCCCATGAACTTTGTTTGACTTCATCAAAAAGAAGTGCAGGATGTGGCAAGGCTGCCTGCTTTGCATTGCTCCTCCTCCCTGCAAAACTCTGATGTTGGACAATATCCCCTCATTTTACCACACATAAGCTTCAGATAAGAGTACACAGACTGTAAAATAGGCCCCAAATTCACCCAACTGTCTCAATAACTGCAGTATTTCACATCTGGAAAAGTATCAGCAGGGAAGCACTTAATTAAAAGAACACTGATCTGATTTTAATATCAAAAGATGATGTACAACGAGAAAGACAATACGAGTAGAGAGAGATTGCACTGGAAAAGTATGTTTCAAACTGTCAGGGGGAAGGAGGTGGGGTGGTGGGGTTTGGAAGGTGATGCAGAGAAGAAAGATGTTCATGCAATGGTTTAACACTCACCACGGTGCAGCAGAGAGGCCAGAACCACCACATAAGAGCCAAAGCCAGAAGCAGTAACAGTACCAGGAACACAATGCCCACCACTGAACCATCTGACTGATAAAAGATAAAACTCATTTCAGTCACTTTTCATCTGATTTTCTGTGCAGTATCACTGTCCTTAGAAAGCATATGCTACACCAGAAATACTTTTTGATATCAAAATGACTGATGATTGCAAAAAACTACAATAAAATGGAAAAAGGAAAAGAGGCAAAAGGAAATATAACAAAAAGATGATATAGCAAAACAACAACAACAAAAAAGTCTGAGAGTTCTGTAAATCCCCTTCACTTTACTGCTTTCCTGAGGGGGTTCTGTGGTTGAAATGCAGTGTAGATATTTCCCACCCGGCCTGTCTCTTGGCCTCTGACAGGCCCATCTTTATACTATGTGTAATCTAGTTGGATTACTTTCATGAGAGAAGGTCAAGTAATCTAATTTGTAATATAGAGTATATGACTTGACTTGGGAGATTTTCTCCAAATTATAACACTTGTATATAACTTGTAAAAACTATATAGACATTGCAGATTTGTACTGGATTAAAATAACACATCTCATCAGTAATTACTTCATTTCAATTACATAAAGATCCAATACCTCTTCTTTAAAAACTACTTAACTTTAAAAGCAGCTATTTTTAATTGAAGCACTGTTTAGCAAAAACAGTCTACTCTAATCAACACTCTACTACCTGACAGAAATAAATACACTGCTACCATGACATCACACAATGTGTGTAAGTCATTCATTTTTCTTTCTGATATCTAATCATATTCAGCCGGATGCCAATATCAGTTATCAGACTGGTGATACAACAATGATGTCACTTCAGTAACATCCGTGGCAGAGGAAAGCTCAAGGTCATCTCCTACAATATCCTGTTCTGCAAAGGTCAACATGTCACTCTTTGGGAAACAATACGCCAGAGTGACAATAGTTGAAGAAGAGGGATACAAATAACTCTCAGAGCACAGCAGAGGAATACACACACAAATGATATATAAAATATATCATTTTATTAGGAACTACAGATACAGAATTAAACATGCAGTCATTATGGATATAATTATACAATCATTAGGAGGGTAAATGTATTGATGTATTATGATGGCATCATGAACGTGTTAATTCAACATCAATTTTGGAATGTTAGAATTGGTTATAATAATATTCAATGATATACTTTTTATACTCTCATACTTTTTGGCCAAATTACAATTCTCTAAAATTCTCACTACTTTAAAACACAAAAATAAAAAAATAGTTTGCTTTAAGAACCATATTTCACTACTGTGTAAATCTGAGATGCACTGAATTAAAAAACAAGTTGAACCACTTTACATCCGTAAGGATCAAATTACAATTACAGTACCAGTCAAAATATTTAAACACATCTATTCATAGAGAAGTTCTCCTTATTTAAGGCTATATATTACCTACTTTAGAATAAAACTGAAGACATCAAACTATAGTCCTATTGGATGTTTACACACCTCCTCAGTGAGAAAACATTCAGACAGCAACAAAATTACCGTAAGTTTTTTTTTTGTGGGTTGCATTTTCTATGAACCCAGATTTTAACATGCTGGGACCTTGATGGCTGCTGTTGGCTGACCTACTTTTTGGGGGACATTCCAAAAACAAAATAATCATTTTAAAATGTATTTTTTGGAAATCGTACATATACATGACTATTTATCCATGTTTAAGTAACAACCTTTTAAGGTTTTAAGCATAAGTTTTTCAAGCAAAATGTCTAAGATTATGAAAAACATGCAATCAAGTGTGCCTAAACTTTTGACTGGCAGCGTACATAACCATACAAACAAATAAATCACAAAAAGGAGAAAGAAAGAACCCCTTTTTCTTTCACTTCTGCTGGCAGAAACGATTGTAGTTTAGTCCGGCAACATTCAACTTACGCAAGTTGAGGCAGTGATTGTGAAGGCGCTTGTAATGTAGGACTTGCCACCATTCAAGCTGATAAGAACTTCCATTTTTCTGTGGAAATGAAAAACAAATACCAAAGTCATACACTTAACTGAAAAGTGAAAATGAGTTAACACATCCTCTGCAGTGATGCACTTCTGCATATTTTAATGCACAATCATTGTTTATTTACTGAATTTAACATACTGGAAAAAGTGGCCTGTGCAAAAGTTATGCCACATTTTGTATTTTATATATACTTTTTCCAAAATGATAAACATATGTTCATGAAAATATGTTTGACACGTTAACTAGCATATTTCCAATGCGGAATAAAACGGCGAAATAATGTGCAATAATGTACACTATGGGTTACAAAAGTTGCTGGTTTCATGGTAGTCAAGTCCAATCTTCAAGGGAGATTTTTAAAAAGGCAGGAAGAAAAAAGGAATTCTATCACTTATTTACTGAGAAGAAGCCGGAAGGTGCTTGCAATTAAGTCACTAATGATGAACGGCATTGTAATTTCCATATGTCTATTATGTGAGAGACAATTACCATGGGGCTAATGAGAATCCACGACCACGAAATCGACTGAGTGAACGCCTGAGATCCCTCCAAAAATGGGGGATTATGAAAAAAAGGAGCCCATACTGTCCATACGCAACAATATTATAGGTCGGCCTGTGTGCGAGTTGTGTTCCTGGAAAATGAAACTCAGCTGGGTGAAATGTGTTCATGAAGTCATCAGAACAGTCTAGACAAGAAACTCATCTCTGAAAATATCTACAGTAATTCTATTTAAAGGGACTCGTTTCAGCTGCATTTTGCTCAGTGTAGTTTTTAGTTGTATTTTCTTTTCAATGAAATGGTATTTCATAAGGCCCTAGCAATCACTCAAGTACAAATTTTGTTTCATGCAACACTGAAATGTTTCTGAACTGGCTGACTTTAGTCTGCCTGTAATCCGGTCCGTCGCTTTGCAGAAATCCTTTAAATGTTCTTGCATGTTAACTAGGTGCGACTACTAAATGGATGAGAGGAGAGGCTAATTTAGCTGACATATTCGATACATGCAAATGTTAGGCAGGTTGTTAATCAAGCTGGATATGTGGACACCGGATGGGGGCGGGTTGTTTCAAAGGCATCTAATCAAACCCATGGAGACAGAATCTTCTGGCAATTTCTTTCAGATTTTTTCAAAGACCCTCTTTTATAATTACACCATGCATCCGTCTTTCTCTGTGTATAAAGTACCTAAATTCTCTGGAAGACTTACGCTTGATAAATGCACCCTTGAGGGAATCTTAACCTTAAATAATCTAAAGGATGAAATCCAATCAGCATTTTATATGGACCAACGCCTGACACAGTTGTCAAAAGACAAAGCTAGTTGTCATAGGTACCAAACTTAACAATTGTTGGAGCCTGATGTGTTTATTATTTTTAAAGTTTTGCTGAGAACTTCCATCCTGCGTCAGCTTCACATTTCAGTTGTGGAAACTTACAGAGCCCATTACCATTAGTTGCCTAATGGTAATAGGATTGAAAGATTCTGGTAAGAAGCCGGGGCTGTATTACAGAAAGGAATGTTTAGACAGCAACCTACCTAAAAAAATGTCAAAGCAACACTACAAGTGTGATTACTTGGAAGTTGGAAAAACCTGAATTAAGTTAAATTAAGTAATAGAAATAAAAGGTTAAAACAGAAGTTAGGACACCTCCGGAGCTGTGCTAAAGTTAGGGCAGTATTTAGGAAATTTTGTCTAGTCAGGATGCTTCTGTAATACTGTTTTCTTAGCTGGATTTAGGACGATCATGAACTTACAAGCTATTGCCCTAAATTCAGTCCTAACCAAAATTGTCATTGTGACTAAAAAGATAAGATTTCAGAGTTAAGATGTTTCTGTAATGCGTCCCCAAGTGAACAAGTCTACTGAAACTTCTCACACAACAGAGAAGCTTCCTATTCAGAGCTTCTAAAACAAATCTTCTATCCTAGACCTCTTCAGTACCCCCTCCTTTGAAGGATACAGAGGATTGAAAGAAGCTGTGACAGTGGCAGATGTTGAATAGGCAAAAGGTCCCCTAAGCTCCCTGAACATGGACATAAAAGTACCCTTGATGATGAAATAGCCACTCAAAGCATCACAAGAGACTTCGAGAGACGTCTTTGGGTTTGGTTTGGCATCAGAATCCACGCACTGATGTAGAGTGATAGTGATGTGATGCAGCTGGACTAGCTGACACTGGTGTCACTAATGGCTTTCAAACTTTCCTTAAATATCTGAAAATGGATAACGTGAATTATTGATGAGCCTGTTTATGCATCATCCGGCCCTGACAATCTGCAACACAACAGCAAACATGACTGACTGAGCTCAGGAAACACGTGATGGTCCTCAGAGAAAAGTCTAGAAGATGCTATGAAACTCAATGTCTATAAGTTATGGGGGATGAGAGACTTACAAAAAGCGTTATGGTTGAAGAAGTAGGGCAAAGTTCAGTTCTAATGCCAGAGACAAAGAAATCAGACTTCAGCAACACTATGATCATTCAGCCTATTGTGAGATTACACTACTGTTTAAAAGTTTGCAATGTTTTTAATGAGATAAAACCAATTTTGCTGCTAATACATCTATAAAATAATAGGATTCTATTACTGTGCAATTTAAAATAGTAAGAAGTAGTTAGAAGCAGTAGCAAAAGTCTCCTAAGCACATTATTTAAAGCCATTCATCTGGGCAATAAATGTGGTTTTGCCTGTAAAATCACCTTATATCATTAAAATAAATGCCTATAAAGATGCATACATTGTAAAGTAACAAGAATTTCTTTTCGAAAAAGCAGTTATCTAGTGAGCTAGGTTGAAGAACAAAGTTTGATTCCAGATATCTCTTCAAAGCCCCCCGCCATCACAAAGACTTGTCAAATCCCATCACAAGTTACAGAAGGATCACTACAATTAATATGGAGCTTCCTCAGAGTGTAAAAGGTTAAACGAACACACTGAAATATATAAAATCACTAGTGTATTAGCATTAATTGCATTTGTTGTAATATTAGTGTTTTCCTACGAAAACATATGCATACTAATTTTCTTGGTTTGCCTAAAAAAGTTGTAGTATTGTATGTACATTTCAGATATCCAAAATGTATTAAAACAGAATGAAGCAGAAACAGAAAAAAAGCAATCAGAAATCAAAAAGAAACATTTCGCAATTTAGAAGATGTTTTTATGCAGAGGTGAATATAATGTTAGGAATCTTGCCCAAACACACTTGTTGGTATGAGAACAGCAATCCAGATTCTGGCCTGGACAGGGAAAGCCCATTCTCCTGTGTGGACAGTGTAATCCACTATGCTGTTCTCTGACAGAAGCCTTGGTCTCAACAGAGGGGCAAAAAAAGTCTTACTAAGAAAACTAAGAAAACAATCTATTTTGGTGTCCTATTACTTGGTCCTAGATATGTGGATAAGTGTATCAATACTATTGTTTCAGGCAAAAAATAACACTGTATTGTTCGAAAAATAGTGGAAATATTAAACAATTGGTGTATAGTCTACTCTTAAAAAAATCAAGGCTTCAAAGGTTCTTTAGTAAAGACAAGAGTTATATACAGAAGCATGAATACTCAAAGAGTCATTTAAGTGCATAAACGGTTGTTTGCGTGGTTAGATGTTTTTTCTCTACGATGGAAAAAGTGTAGGAAAACGTGTCAACGTGCAAGCTTTTATGATATATAATAACAAAAATGCTGAATATGATGATGGATTCCAAACTTTTGCACAACAGTGTACATTAATGTGAGTTGAACAGCCTCACTATTTGTAGCAGGATAGACATCTTTCACATTGGCATATATTCCACTTTCAGTTGAATTAGCATCCCTCTGTCAAGCATGGGGGAGAGGAAGGCAAGCGTGCCATGTTGTCTGGGCACGACTCCAGATGGAACCAGAATGGCAGCCGGCGCCTGCGTAAGCGATCAGATCGATTATTGATGAGCAGAGCTCTGCTTGCTTGCGCTGCGAGCAGGTGTCAGGCCTGTACCCTCAGTTATTTTTCTTTCTCCACCGTTGCTGTGAAAACGCAGGTGAGGACATGCTGCTGCCAGTGCCCAGTTCCTGCCCCCCAACCACCCCCCCACCCTGTGGACAGGACCCAGAGGGGCGGGGCCAGTCCGTACTAATGGGGAGGCCGACAGATGCCGCAGATCCTCGCCCAACGACGCAGCAGCTGTCGCTGCAGATGATGCCTTGATAACCAGCACTTATAGCCCTGGACTGCAAGGACCCTCGGAAATCCCGGACGAGCCCCTGACCATACGACACGGTCTCGAGAGTCTAGGGTAGTTCGTTCGAGCTCAACTTAATTGTTTAAGCTCAATCTACGAGGACTCGAATGTGGGCCCATTCTTCAGTTCATCACTCCAATAACCACAGTCGTATGCAAAAGTTTGGGTGCTTCAGGTCAAATTATGTTTGGCTGATTTTCTTAACAAAAATAAGTTAACACATCCTCTACAGAGAACTCACTCCTGCGCATTTTAATGCACAATTAGTGTTCATTTGCTGAATTGAACATACTGGAAAAAAACTAAAAAAATAAAAAGTGGTCTGGGTAAAAGTTATGGCACACTTTATATTTGATGCTTTATTTTTTCTAATATGTTAAACTCAGTAAATAAATAGAAACTGTGCCCTATAGTTTGCAGAAAAATACTGAGGATGGGTTAACTCATTTTCATGTAAAATATCAACAAAACACGGAACACCTGGGTATCCAAACTTTTGCATACGACAGTATATAACTTACATATTAGTTTAAGTGAAGTTACTAAATTAACTCACAGTAGATCTCTGTCATAAGAAAAGATTATTTACTTTGACCTATTTAAAAAAAACATAGCTTCCCGTAACATACTATGAACAATTAATGATGAACAGCCCAGTTTTTCTAAGTTACAGATGCCTATTCCTTCTATATCAGTAACTGTATGCCTACAAAGAGCACATACATCGTAGATATTTCTGATAAAATGGACAATGCCTGTAGGCTCATGGAAGGTGTTTCTAATAATCTGGCAACTCACTGTACCATTTCGAAAGTACAAGGTTTTTTATAGTAACGGGTAGTTACTGAAAAATACATCGTAAGATTAATGACAGAATAATAACTCTGCAGTTTAAAATGTTAAGAGGTAAATGCTAGCAAAATAATGTAATATTCAATACTGTGCAAAAGTCTTAAGCAGGTATGAAAAGGCTTCAAATGATTTATCTGAGCAGTAAGCATGTTTTGCCAGTTTTTAAAAGATAATACTTTAGTCAGTCAGCATGGTGAACGGCTTTACATACCATTTTTTTACATTACTGTGCACCTCTCTTGCTTCCGGACTGGCCTCCTATAGTTATTGTGCTGATCAAATGTGGTAGGCTTTTTCATGCACAGCAGACAGATGGACGAAGAGAGAGAAAGAGATCTTTCCTGCGCTCAGACAAGATGCAGGTGGTACGTGATGCCGATTGTCAGGGCATGGTGAATTATTTAAATGGAAGCGTGGAAAAGGGAATCGCTGCATCTGTCGCACATCCTTTTAAAGCCCTCCACCAGATGTGTTTACTCGCCGCTCATAGCAGCTAACTACTTAATGGGTCATAGTCACCAGCCAAAAGTTAATTAAGCACACCCTTTAAATAGCGATCACCTACAGGGGTTCCGCTGTTATAACACGCTGCATTATAGGCACAAGTCTTAGCATAAGCTCAAAGAGACCGCGGTTCAGTATTTATAATAGGGACTCCTACTCTCTGACACACTGTTAAAGCAGCCAGTATAACAACAGGCAAAGCTACTGTATTAGTAAGCAGGAACATAGTGCCGACCGTAAGCGCTAGGTTGAGTCAAAATTGCTATTTCGGCTGCACATTTATGAATAAGTCAAATATCTGGTATCCTTTAGTTTTGGGTGGTCAAATGTATTTAGCTAGCAGTCAATAGCATTGACTTTGCCTTGCAGAATTCACTACCTATATTTTCTTTTAATTAAGTGATGCAATGTTAGATGTGACATATAGTGAATTAGTTCAAACTGAAGTCCCACAGTCTCAACAATTAAGTACTCAGATCTAAACTAAGATGTTTACAAGGATTGTGCTATGATCTATTTAAATCCATTGCATTCATTAGGACAGTAATATGCTAAATACATGCACAATCATTATTTTTTATGGTACTTTCTATTGGAAGGTGTCTGTCCCAGACTCTAAAACCTAATTTCAACTTGTAAAAATAACACTTATTTTGATTTTTTAAGATATTTTTGATTTTGTTGAGTGAAGTTGAATGATTCAGATTCCTCATGAGTTTAATTTTTAAATAAAAATTCATGTCACTTGTCACTGTGTACCATGTATTCATGTCACCACTACTGGAGTCCACAGATTTTAGCCACACCCCTGCATTTTAAAGCAGGAAGTCAAACTGCACCCCTGTCCCTCATAACCACACAGTGAGCAGTTAGATCCCACTGTTTTGAAATAAATGTGTCTGAAAGTCTGAAATTTAGTGTGTAACATGAAGAATTGTCACTACCAAAACTTATTTTCTCCAATTAAGTAGACTTTTTTGTTTGCTAGACATGTACTGACTAGTGTTTTTAAGGTATGCTCAAAATTGGCTTAAAATGTCAACCAAAACAGTCACTACTGAAACATTCGATAAAGCTTCAGTACTGTTAAGCATAATGAATGAATATGAATGGGTTGTCATCTCTGACTTTGAACCAATTCAGTAGAATGATTTCTATATTAGTATAAATCAACGGTGCCTATTTTTTTTTTTTTTGGCCAAAAAAAGCAAAGGGTCAAAATGACTAAAGAATACACAAATAAAGAAGGTAAATAAACTAAAAAAAATCAAGTTTTTAAAATATGTATTCTATGACATTACACTATAGTTTGTCACTAAAATACAACTGTAAAAGGGAAATAAGAATGGAAAAAGTGGTTTAAGAAACAAAAATATGTTTGTTCTCTCACTGGGTGAGAGGGGTGATGTAGAGTTAACTTCTTGGTGGGACAAATCAAACATCCTTACAGGCCAAGTTTGGTCTGCGGGTCACACTATGGGCAACTCTGGTATACATTATTTTTGTATACAGCCATGTTCAGTTGTTCTTTTGGATGGTTCATATTTGACTTATCACCTTTACTTCAAAGTGCTTAAGTGCATAGCGAAACTAACATTCTTCCGCTCACACTGACCTCGTACTTAGAGTTCACGTTATATAACAGGTTGGAACTTTGTCAATAACTGAAAAAAAGAATAAGTGGAGCATATTAAACAACTTGTCATGCCACTTAAGTAATACTGTGATGGAGCAAACAGAGCAGGACGACTGACAGAAAGAGCTCACTTGACTTTCAGACCTCTGTTGACCTCAGCAGTGAGGAATGATGCCCACATGATAAAAAAAAAACACAGTGCAGCTTAATGACTAATACTTGTTTCTTCCCCCCACAAATGCACATACGCCATTCATTTCAACTAGCCCCTTTTAGAATACTCACTGTCCAGCATACTGCAGCACCGGCGCAGGACACAGCACATAGTCATGTCTCACTGTGGTTGGCTTCTCATCTGGAAAATAAAGAGAGCACACTCATGAAGTGCTACGCCTTCAAACTAGCTGGAGAATAACCTTGACTCCAGATGTACAATATTCCGCCATTTGTCACTATGCAGCTCAGGAGCTCACTAGGGCTGCTGACATGTGCAGCACAGTTGAGAAACCAAGGCCAGGATAAGTGAAACTTTTTCGATTAAAGTTATTTCTGGATAGGGCAAAAACCTGAACTGTATACTGAAACTAGATGAGGTTTCTAAAATTAAGCAACTAAGCACTTTTGTGGTTCCATTTACAAAAACAAGGAAGGAACACATGCATTCCACATGAGAATCTTCTGTCTGATCTAATGATAATGCAGTCATAAAAGCATGGTAGATGTCGTGTGTGAGAGCACGAGTGAAGTTGCTAAATTCGGTGAGGATTTGCAGGATGTGGTTATGACAGACTGTGTTACTTCTCAGGCACAAGTTACAGCTTACAAACTTACAAAATCTTCAGCAAAGTACGTTCCATCCTTTTTAATTTGTCATGTTTTTTGACTGACTTTTTTAGCATTACAGATTATATGTAATGGGCCTTGGGTCACTTGCGCAATCAATGATGTCAGAGTAACCATTTAAAAGTAAGTCCCTTTAAAGAAGTGAAAAAGAATAAACTGGACAGTCAAAATAAAAATACCACCCCCCTTCCTATGCCTCTTCCTGTTTAGCACATCTCAGTCACACACAATGCAAACGCACATTGCACCACAGTTTTTTTTATTACCATTAGTTGGCTAGTATTTATACAAAAACGTACAGCTTGACAGACATGAATGATATAAACTAGATATTGCACCACTTCAATACTCAGAATCGGTGTTGGACCAATACCAACTCAAAATGCTGGATCTGATCTTGGACAAAAATTCAGTAAAAAAAAAGCCTAAAATATCACATAATTGCTTGAACTGCAGAACAACAGAAAGCAAAACAAAGTAGGTCATGCAGTAACTATGATGGGGGGATGTCCTGATTCAGTTTTTTGCCACCCAGCCTGATCCAAGTACTTTCATACCAAGTACTGACTGATATGGATCTAATCTAATATAAATATTAGATTAGATCCATATCGGTCAGTACTTGGTATGAAAGTACTGACCGATATGGATCTAATCTAATATTTATATTTTCTCAGATAATACAACTACACGGTTAAAGCAAAAGCAGCTCTCTGGATTTGTACTTTTTTCAGACAATTTATAGTGTGTCTACTATTGACTTATGATCCAATCTGATTAACCAATCTAACGATTTGACTACAAGTAACTACAATGCTGCACCAACCTCACACATACACTTTTAACTGATTTATTGTTGATATTGTTGTGGGCTATCTATAGGAATTAACTGATTTCATACTGCTCTAACTCACATGCAGTAGCTGCTCATTTCTCTCTGTTTTAAAATGCACTGTTATGGCTCCTCTAGGCAGTTTCAAACCAGATCACACAGCACAGACAGAACGTTTCTGCGATGGTTTCATTTTAAGCCCAGTTGAGACTCGCAAGTGAAAACTGCAGCAGAATGTATTTTGTAAATGTTTCTGGTGACATGCTGATAGCACTAAGCAGCAAAAGAAAAGATGTGAAGCATTATAGTCCCGTGCTCACATTTGATTTGCCTCTGTTTAGATGAAATTTGGCTAGCTCAACATTGCCATTGCAGATACGACACTACAAAATGGTTCCACAATGTAGTCGCTCATACTACGTTATCTCCTGAAACCACACGTTACTGCCGCGGGGTTGTGCATAACCACAGTTTAAATCACCTCTACAACAGTGGCATAAGTAGAAGGAAAAGTATTAGAAAAAGAATTGAAACTAGATCAGGCTAATATAGTTGATACCCGATCTATTAAAATATGCCTGCATTGGCTCAGACCGGGATCTCCCTAGTAATACCAGTAGACATAAGCAGCCCAATATTAAACAAAAAAAATCAACAAGTAGCTAACTAGCTAGGCACTAAACTACAATTCCAATTCCTTTTATTAAACTGCCTAAATTTGCACAAATTTGCACTTCTGTTTTATTACTAATATTTGTCTGATATTATTTTGATATAACTTTACCTAAATAAAAAATGTTGTAGTTTTTGTATATGTCATATTGTTATGCATCATATTGCTATGTATTTCTTCCTGTAGGGTAGTGGTGCATTTGTTTTAGCAGTCTAAGCATTTTACTTTTAGATGTCCAGCTAAAGCTTTTTACTTAAAAATAGCTAATGAGTTCAGTAGTTCTTAAAGAAAATAAATATACTGGTATCAATACCAGCCAATAGGGTTTCAGTATCTGTATCGACATCAGAAAAGAAAATACACTATCATGCCATCTCTAACGTAAATGCATGGCTTGACTGTACTCACTGTAGTTCTTGCCGTCCACCGTGAAGCTGCAGAGGACTTCCTCTTTGGCTTTCCCTAGCGTGAACCCGTTCCCTCTTAGGACCATGTCAAAGGACTCTGCGGTATGTAAACCAGATGAGGACATAATGAGAAGCATGCCTGGGCGCCAACCCAACAAAATATGCGCACACACACACACACACACACACACACACACACACAAAAGCACACAGGCATGCACACTGACAAATAAGACCACTGGAAGTGCTCACGGTTCACGCAGGCACTGGACGGCTCCACCGTTAAGATCTCTGTGCATGACTGCTTGAGGATCTGAAAGGCAAATAACGGCAAACACACAATTTACCATTAGTGTGAATAAATGCATCGTCTCCATTTATTCTGTACTGCTTTTTTTCCCCACTCAGGGCACACCTAATACGGACTGTGCATTGCTCATGCTAAGCCATATCTGGATCAATGAGAAGACTGTCACATAGAGTGCAGCATGGGAAAGAACTATGTCGGCCGTTATGGGAAAATTATGCGAGACCGTTCCCTCCTCTTCAGCTCTATTAGAAGCTCCAGGCTGACATTATCATATAAAAAGGCCCGTGTGAGCCTACAGTCGCCTCTGCTATCATCCGTATAAATCAGCGGAGGACAAACTATGCAAATCTCCATACACAACCGGCAAAAAAGACAATATTAACCAAAATATATGGTGCTTGGAATCGGCGGCACTGGAGATGAGGCTTCAGTCTCAAGTGGTAGGAGAGTATAAAACGAATTGATTAAATATGACGTACGATAAACAAACCCATCATTAGAGGAGGGAAGTAAACATTGTCTTATTCTAGGCTGAGTATGCTGAAAATACTGCAGTTACTGTGTTATCTACAGCTCTCTCAGCTCTTTATCAGATGGGAGGCTGAGCTCATTTCACACGTCTGACATGTATACAGGTGTAGATGCTGATGAAAAAATTAGGCTGTTTTCACTGCATGAGGAAAGATCATATTTTAAATGGAAGTGCTTCCAAATTGGTATTGATAGTGATGCTGTTATTGAGTGGGGTTCTATTTATTGCCTCTGGTAAGTGGTGAGTGCCAAGTGCTTGCTAAGAGACTTTTCTAACTATTAAATTCACTATTAAGCACTTTAACTGAGAGACGACACAATAAAATTAACCAGAGGTACACGATATATCAAAAGCCGATGTATTATTGGCTGATGAATGGGAGCACTTAACTACTATCAGCTGTCCAACACTGAAAGTATGATAACTCATCGTACATATATGGGCATTTCATTCTTCAGTGACTGTTTCATGAACAAACCACTCACTCAAATGGGCAGTGTAGTGGATAACATTGCACCCTCACACAGAATATAAAAGGTTTGATTCCGTGTGCAGGTAAGGATGCCATAATTAGAGTCCTTGTGTAAAAGCCGTTGCATTACCATTACCTTCCCATTGTATTTTGCTCTGGATAAGGGTAATACTGATCCACCTTTAAAATTTCACCTGTCCTAATCTCACCACACTTCATACATGGATTACAGACTAAATGTGTTAAAACCCAAAACCCTGAAAATTATTAGGTTTTTAATATTAATATTGACCATAGCAAGGTGTTAATTAATGGTTATCTTTGTTGTCCCAGAAATTCCACATAAGTCAAAGAGCATTGTCAAAGAGTGCACACACTAAAGACTAAAAATGTGAGATTACAGCCCTGTGTAATTTTCTATGAAATATATGATTCCTTTTTTCTGAAGCTGTAAAATGTAACTTTAAGAAATTTGAAGGGTGGTCTTTGACTTTTGCAAAGTTCTGGAAAACTTTACATTAGATACCTGTACAGTACAACAATAACTTATATGCAACATTACAGAGCACCAAAGAAGAAAAATACAAAGTATGCTCAGTCAGTCACTGCACCATAAATGGTAGATCTATCACAATTTGACTTTATGAGTAGAAAAGTGTGCTTTTTGTGCTTTTGCAGAAATCTCCCCCAAATCTACTTTAGGCTTTCACTAAAAAGCTGCACAGATGATCTCAAATCCTGGAAATCTGAGCAGAGAACGATATGAGGCCAAATAGCCCAGCCTCCAGGATTACTAATCACTGGAGAATGCCTATGTTTTGCTGGGCCTGAATCTCCATTTGGCCAAATAGGCTTAGTCAGTAATGAGATGATAGAAGTTTTTTTGTTTGTTTTCACTGTTCTCTGGACAAAAACATTTGCATGAAAACATATTTCAATAAATTATGAGAAAATACAGTCTTGATCATTGCATGCCTGGTGTGACCACAGATAAATTTTCTGAAATCAATCTCTTCGGACACTGTGCAGCACGCCCAATGGAAACAAATGTGGACCTCAGGGGTTCTGGATGTCCTGAAACTGTGGCACATCAGCCTATCAATCATCTTAGCACTATAAGGACTATACTCAATCTTTACCTATGCCTACCCTGTTTAAGTGAAGATTAACAAACAGACAGAATGACAAACAAATTAGTGGAAAACCTGAAGTGGAAGATGCAGCATTGACAGCTCTACATAAACACTGAGTAAGCAGATGGAACCTTTAGACCTGGTTATACAGTTTACCAAGAACCACGTCATACAGTCAAATTTAGAGAACAGCTTTGCTGTGATGACTGGACCATGTTTTTGTTTAATTTGCTTAAAGTCAAAATGCATAACATCTGTTATAAAGTATGTAAAAAATAAAGAATAAAACAAAAAAAACTGGCTTACCGAATTAACAATTCCTTTTAGCGCCTGAAAGCCATCTTTAACCGGGAACACCTGCTCTGCAGTGTCAGCCACCTCAGCCAGCTGTTGGCATGCACATAAAAAAGTTAAAAGTTGAGCAGGAATAACCCACAATAAACCAAACACTGGCCACTGCTGACTGCCTCCTCTTCAGTATCTCTGTTTTTGATCGAACACAGGAAGAGAGATAACTGTACAAGTAAACTGTATAAATAAATGTACAAATGCTAAGACTCAGCAAAACACTTGCAGTAAATTAAAGATGCAAAAAAGACTTCAACAAATGTACTCATCATAACCCTTAAATCTATAAGGCAGGTAACTTATAGGTATTGTTTAGATGCCATTGTTTGTTTTTATTAACGCTAGTTGTGTAAAATCAGTTCATGCTACATAATCACACTGTACTCCTGTGGTCACTTGCATAAAACATTTTAAGTGCACTTCAGTGCACTTTTCCCTTCACCTTAAGTAAGCTGCATAAAATCTCTTTAGGGAATTTTTTCAGTAGAGATTTTTTAGACCTTAAGCTTATGTTTCAGTTTGCAACACAGTTTTGGACAGAAGCAAACTTTAAATTTATCCCTTAAGCATTTAACTTAAGAAAAACACTTAAGATGTCAGCAGCCAAAGGGCAAGACTCCATGGCAAGTGCCTAGTTTATTGGGTACCTTTTACTTTGTGTACTATAATTTGTACAGCACTTTTATCTCATTAATACTATTGTTACAGACTGTAATGTTTTAACTTTCCAATGTTTCAAAAGCTTTGGAACTTTCTAACTAAAATGAAAAGTGCTAGTTGAATAAAGATTATTACGGTATTATAACAAAAGCTCTGACATTTCATTTACCTGATCCTTGTCAAAGTCCTTAACACCAACACAATACACTCGAGCCCCATATGTCCTTGCTGTGTTTGCCTGTATACAAAACAAATGAATACTCATTAAAATGGTAAAATTTCTGTTTAGATCACCAAACTACAGGAATAAGAATAAGGGATGTCAAAAAAACAAGAAACAAAGGACTGGAACTGGATTAGACTGTACATAGCAGATAACTGATTCTTTAAAATATGCCCGGATTGGATTCAGGTATCCCTATTAACAATAACCTCACCTCAGCCGTAGTGAGTTCATGAACATAGACATCAAGCTTTCCATCGGTCAATGCAATGATGATGCTTGAAGACTTTTGGGTTTGTCCTTTCATTTGCTCAGATGCCTGGAGATATATAGAGGTAAGAGACGTTCAAATATACATCTCCACAACACAAGCTATGAACAGCTTACTGCATTCAACAAAAATATCTCAATCTCAAGGGCTTCAGGACCAGGATGCTGAATGTAGGTCAAAGAGGACATTTCCGGAAAAAAGATAAACAGCTGATTATCCCTTATCTGGACCTTGACTGAGACCAAATAAATGTGGCTTACTTTGGAAACCAAACAATCATGCTCAGACTCAGATTCTCTGCTGGTAACATGAGCCTTCAGTTATCGCTCAAATAACCTGGCTCGAGCAAAACATTTTTCGATCAAGAAGAGTCAAGCGCTTACAGCATTACAACATTTTACTGGATAATATGTGTTAGAAGAGATGTCATATCCTCTACAGTCAGAGCCCGAGAGGATTCTTAGCTTGCTCAATAAGCCCTGCTGATGAAACTTTTTTGTTACCTCTTTCGCAAATCAATGACACATTTACGTCAGAGTTATGCACCACAGCTATTTGCTAATATTTGAGCACAACATATGATACATGCATACATTCAATCATTTATGAATATAAAAAAGCAAAATTTTCTCATTTACCAGTTTAATCCCTTCATGCATGAACGTTTCACCTGCAGGTTTGACCTCACTCAGTTTCTTCAAGCCTTCCTGTATCTTTGTCCTGAAAAGAATAAGATGGTTGGGATCACATTTTTAAAATGCAGCCTAATCTATTTATGTTAGCATGGTTAGCACACAAACACACTCCTATTTGCCTCAAGGCAAAAGGCATGTGGCTAAGTTTAGTCAACAGTGGTAAAATTGATAACCGCAAATGAAATCATATAGCCACCAATCAACATTATGTCATCACACTAATTGTTGGCTACCAGCTTCCTTTTCCTTATTAGACATTACCATGTTTGGTTGAGCCATTCCTTTAAAGGGGTCATTGTTTATGATTGCCTGAATTATGTAATATTGCTGTGTGTAGGCTTTAGTCTCCCACTATTATATTACATGGATTGTACCTGTCTCCAGTCAGTGGCAAAATGAGCTCTGCTTTTGAGGAGAAGACAATGAAGGAAACCTTCATTTTTGGGCTAAAATGAAGAAAAAAAAATACATTAATTACTTATAATGACATATGACAATGTAATGTAATGACAACATATAATGGTGTACAGTGTTTCACTTCAAAACAAACAAATAAATACAGTCATGAGAAGTAAGTACTTTTTCAGCATGTTTGGACATACAGATATCTGGTCTTCATTTAAACAATGATGATAGATAAAGGTGATTTAATTTAAAAAGTGACCACTAAAATGAACATTTTTGTCGTTCTTTACATAACTGAAATGAACAGAAATTCACTTTCTTTATTCTGAAAAAGTAGCTACACCCCTACAAATATCACTTCAAATGTGTCAAATTAAAGTCAGGTGCACTCGATCAGGTGCTAAAGATCAAAACCCCATTAGAGAACATACTTGAACCTGTCTTATTTAAACCTCCGATATCTGGTCTGGTTTAATCTTTGTTACTGGAGATTAGGGTACCATCATTCCTAGATCAAAAGACCTTCTTCAGAAAGAAGGTTGTAGATTAATGCAAGTGTGGGGAGGGGTTTGAGAAGTGTTACCAAATATTAGAAATCAATCCTTCCACTGTCTGGAAGATCATCTAGAAGCAGAGAAGACTTAAAACCACTGCCAATATGATCAGGCCAAGCCGCCTCAGCAAATTTCATCCAAGAGCAAACCATAAACTGCTAAAAGAATTTTTTACCACTGTTTTGCCTGTCAAAGTGCATGCATCTACCACTAGAACGAGACTGCACACATTTGACCTACATGGCAGGTGCAGGTGTTTGCTGTCTAAAAAGAACATCAGGGCAAGACTAAAGTTTGCTAATACATATCTAGGCAAAGACTAGAACACGCAAGCCAAATATAAAGTTGTTTGGCCATAGTACCATAAGCCATGTTTGGTACAAACCAGCATTTGATCAGAAGAACCTCAAACCAACTGTAAACCATGGTGGCGGAAATGTTATGGTTTGGTGCTGCTTTGCTGCCTCAGGGCCAACTTGCAGTCGTAGAACTGACTATGAATTCTCTTTCATCTCCTAGAAAGTTGAAGCTGAAGAAATGGACCTTCCAGCAAGATCCCAAACACACAAGTAAATCCACTTAAGAATGTCTCAAAAGGAACAAATGGAGGGTTGTGGAATGGTCTAGTCAAAGCCCAGATTTGAACCCCACTGAAATGCTGTGGAGGGAATTTGAAATCAGCTGTACATGCAAGAAGCCTTTCAAAAAATTGCACAGTTGAAATAATTCTGCATGAAGGAGTGGTCAAAAATTTCTCTATTATTTCTCTACATCTAAGCTAATTTATTTTAAATTTCAATTAAATTTCCTTTGTTTTTTGTTACATAACATTTATCCATACATACATGTTTACTTGATGATCCAATACTGATATGCCCACATATGTCAAAGAAAACAAAACATTTCATTGGGTGTACTTACTTCTTCACTTGACTGTATATAACACATTTTAAATACATAAAGGATGATAATTTAATTGGCATGTCTAAAAATGGCTGTCCTTATTGCACTGTCAGACAAGTCTTATGAGGCAACACATGAGGACAGCTTGAGCTTCTATGTATGTCTCCTGTCAACAACAGAGTTAGGCTATGAGTAAGATGCCCAGTATGGACCTAATAAAAGCATGTTACTTGTTTGTAAAAATTCCCTACTGTGAGAAAGAAGGAAGTGATTAATTAACATTGAGACAGGAAGCAGGTTGTCTTGAGAATGACTCATCCTATACACCAGAAACACATCATGTCACATCCTGGTTACATTTTTATACCTGTCACCGCATAAAAAACATATAACTAATTAATGACGAGTTGGGTAGCTACTTGTGTTTTATTAGTTACATGTTTTTTTATGAGGTGACAGGTATAAAAATGGAACCAGGATGTGACAGGATGTGTTTCTGGTGTGTATACAAAGAAACAGTTTATCAAATTTTGCTCAAACCGGCTTACAACATGTAATATAGTTACATTAAATCTAGAGAGGGGCTAAGCTCACAGACTGTAAATGGTTTGGTTTGGTATCTTTCCTTGCATTGCACTGTTTCTCGCATACAGATTATCAATTATGCTGAACTATATTTCAATCAAGCAGTCTGGTCTTTCTCGCGACCTTCTGTTACAAAAGCTGACACGGCACTGAAACATGTTGGGTTTTCTGGCCTCGCAGCAAGTCAGGTCTCAGGACTCTAAGCATAAGGAGAGGTGCTGCTTTTTCACACTTAGATGACACGTCCAACCCGCAATCATCCCCCACATGAGATATTCATGAAAACGCGGCCAAATATGCTCAGCCAGCCAATCTCTAGTGACAAAAAAAAATCAAACAAGAAATCAATACTGCGATATTTCAAACTGAATGTTCTGCTGACGGACTAGCTTGCGCAATAAAAAGAAAAGTCTAGTTTGAGGAGACTTGGCCAAGGTACTGTAAACTCTTCAGCAGAGACCAAAATGACTTCCAGCGTCATCGGGTTCAGACTTAGGCAGTCACATCTGTTCTCAGGGCAGAATTTCTAGGCCTTCTGCTGCACAATACTGAAGCAACTAGGGATCTCCTCTAAAATCTCCTCGAGCTAATGATTTTAATTAATGTTTGATACAGCTGGTCCATCCAACACTGAACAAAGGCCCATGAAACGGCAAGAGAGAGCAAGAACAGGAAAAGGGCCAGCAGATTCCACATGGCGCAACAGAAGAGCGTCAAAGTCAACAGCAGACTGTACTGGTCTTCCCGCGCCGTGCCTTAAAGTACATTCGCTGCTTCTTCTCCCATTATGTGTGAGGGATAAGTGTGGTGTTGGAAGGTTTCAGTGCAAATGGCCATTCTCACAGCCCAGAAGACTGAGCCTCCCTGCCACCCACTCCCACCTGCTCCCTTTGCTATTTTCTCAAGCAGACTGCTTTCTTCTGGCTAGGTCGCTACCGTCTGTACTGGCACATACATTGAGTCAACGTTACATAAGTTCAACATTCATCGGGCCATTTTTTTTTTGTTTATTCCACGTCTTTTTTTTCTCTCCCCCTCCTTTCCAGAATCCTTTCCAAGCCGGATGTGTGGACTAAGTTAGCTGTTCTGAATTATGCACTTGGTGTGGTATCTATCAGAACATAAGCCTGTGTAACTGAAAGCTTAAACAAACTTGCAAGCTTGGTCATTTAGCAGGAAAAAAACTACCTTCTTAGGGAACAGAAGAAAGTCTTTTTTTTTACCTCACAAATCGGTCGACAAGATTTTTCACAAAGTCAAAGATCTGAGCCCAATCAGTCGAAACACTTCCAGATCTGTGATTAAAAAAAAAAAAAGAATAAGCAAAGTCAGCAAAGCAAGGCCACAAAACAGCTTGGTGTAATTACATATATCCTTAAGCCAAATACAACGTTAGAGTGTAGTGTCTGATGTGGTTCCCTTAAGTTGACTCAGTCAAGTTTTAGCTAAACAGAAAGACAGTAATAATAAATAGGAAGTGTGACAATAAAGATAAGCTGTGACAAGAATAATACTAAATAACAATACTGTAGCACTGCTATATCTATGGACCCCTGCGATTCACTGATTATATCATTTTAATGATTTCACAAAAGCAATATCAAGTCATATTCACCTATATGATTAAGAAAGTTAAAACACTGTACATTTTATGGGAGAGGTTCAAATCGAATTACATTGGCAGTGGCCATGTTAGGCCTGTGACATTAACCTCGATGCAAAAGTATCATAAGTGAGTAAAGTGTGTAAAATGTGCCCTTGGTCTAATGGCTACAAGGTAATTGAACTAATAATTACAGTCCACTGTATGTGCTGAGAACATAAAACACAAGAGTGAGATCATTAGAAAATCATCTTTTATGCATTGCCTTCTCCCTTGTCTTATCCAAGGTCAATGAGTCTAGTCAAAAGCCGAGGGCATTAGTACTTATGGATCATATATATATATATATATATATATATGTTTATTGAGAGTTATCAGACAGCCCGGTCTTCACTTTGTAAGGCAGCAGACGAACAGATGAACCTCTACCCTTGTGGTTTTCTTGTTGGTAGGGTGGTCAACAGTTGGGCCAGCAAACCTCAAGCGAGGCCACATCTTACAGATCAAGAGATAAAAACCAAATTCAGCCCAAACAAACATTATCACTAAGTGGACACGTCTGCAACTGGTGGATGAAAGATCTGCAGACAGAATATAGTCCTTGACTTCACAAGGCCTTCAGAGCAGCTTTGCAACTGTTGGAAATGCCCCCAGCTGCATTTTACCCAACAGAAATGTGTATTAAAAAGCATGAAAAGTTATGCAATGGTGTTAATTCCCCCAAGATCTCTGCCAACAGCCTAGTGCGGCTGTATTGCTGGGATGCTAGCAGAGATCTGACGGCAGATAGCGCTGCATTGAGCCTGAAGCTGAATTCCTGTTAACCACTTGAGAGAAGGTTTTGGTTGCTACATCTGACACTGAGAACAATACAGCAACCAGGCTGATCCGCTAGGTGGACATATTTGATTTACTTTAATCTCAGCCTGTATTGTTGAAAGGTCTACTGGATCGACGATATAAGAAAATGCAAAGCCCTGAATGACATACCTACCGATCTGGAGAAGTACTAACCTGTCTAGTACAAAGTAGAGGTCGAAGGCTCCATGACAGGATGCCTCTTCTGCCTCCAAAGAGGAGATGAAACCGAGAAGCAGGATCGCCGTGACTGCCACGGCGCAGCGCTTTCCCATGGTGAAAGTTTTCTTTGACATTATAAATTCACAAAAGAGTTACGACTGTCGCCGTAACACTATCAGTAGGAACAGCACGTATAAATAAGTGCACTAAAGAGGAAAAAGTGTTAAAAAAAAACCCCACAACGAAACAAAACAAGAACTGTACCAAGCTGTGGCGTCAATACAGCGGAGAGAGAGGCCGAGTGAAGGAGAACGACAACAACAACAACTCCGCCGAGGTCTGAAGCAGCATGTCCAAGTCCAAGTACTTTAAGTCAACTTAAACGTACTCCTTCCTGCATTCACACGGCGACGTCAGCAGGGCTTTCTTCACCTTTCCTTCCTCCTTACTCGCGCCGTCCTCTTCCCATTTTGTGACGGAGGGTAAAAGAAACGCGTGAAAGAAGAGAAAAGGTTCTCCCAACTCTTTCACGTCTAATGGAAGTTAACCCCGTTTTTAATGAGCATGCGCGGCCAGATGTTGGGAGGTTTCTGAGGTCGGGACTGTTGTAGCCCACACCCAACATCTGTCCGAGTTAGAGAAACTCGGTTAAGCTCGCTCGTCGCACACAGGATGTTTGGCACAAACTGTCAGGGGCGTCATAAATAACGACAGTTTACAGTTTACACAGCCCTTCACAGATTCATACGGGATGACTCTTCCTGATGATACTGAGTTTAATAAAGTTGGGATTCTGATCAGCTGCGCGTCAGCGCTGAGCCACGCTGAGCTAGACAGCGTGAAGTGACATTAGGTGAGTGAAATAAGCCTTGAGGGTATGGATTTCTCATCAAAGTCACAGGATTTAGTAACAGCGGGCACAGTAAGAGCCCCATTTGATGTACAGTAAATAAATAAATAAACATTATAGCCCAGTGCTTTGAGTTTGATCAGTTCACTTTTTTTAGTGAATGAAAAATACCAGTCAGTGGCAGTAAAGTCGAGTGTACGTTAAATAAGTAAATTAGTACATTAAATAAGTCATGGGGTTGTTTATTTATTAGCCATAGTCAAGGCCAGGAGACACTGAGACAGAGTCAAGACTGATATATATATATATATATATATATATATATATATATATATATATATATATATATTTACACATATATGTCCTCATTCACCATCCGTTCTTCTTAATTTCTTCTTAAAACCCACTAAAACCCATGAACATCAATAAACATATAATATCAGATAAGCCATCATGGAAAAATAAATTCGATCCTCCACCAACAGATTTTACTTAAACATATACAACAGTGGTTTTCAACCTGTAGGTTGCAGTCCCCCAGTGGGCTGTGGTGGTACTGCACTTTTTTAATGCAAAAAAATCATTACAATAAAAACATTTAATCAAACCTAATTTTAAATATGACAAATATTGGTAATGATTTGCAAAAATAATGCATTATATTTTTATCAAGCTCACCGACTGTTCTGGCAAACTGCAAAACAACGAAATACAGAAGTGAACATGAAACCCAACAACTTATACAAACTAAACACAGGAAATAGATATCTAAACCTGTCGAATTGAGCCAGAATTTCCTCTTTTCAGCCGGACATCCAGCACTCAGCAGCTCCCAAATCAGCCTTCTCATTAGGTAAGTCAGAAAAAAATGATTGCTTAAATCCGTGGCAGATTTCATGATTTGAGAGTGGGCACAGACATTTATGTAAAATAACTGGTCATAAATAAACTGGTCACTTGTTTACTGTTAATGTGACTGAGATGCTAGAATGCGATTTCTCTGAAACCCATCAGAATTAGGGGTTTGTCTACATGTAAGAGCCAGTAATCAATAACAAAACAAACATTCCAAAAAATAAACTACAAGTTATATCATATATTTTCCTCTTCAATTAAATCAGCCTAAAATAAGAATTGACCTCTTTTACCATATTAATTCATATCCCTCCTCATATTAACCCTGTAAAATCCCAGGCTTTACACATTAAACACATTACACATTACACATTAAGGCTTATTATTCAGCAACTACAGGGACTTTAATGCAAACTGGCTGAGCTATTCGTAGGTTATAGAAGTGTGTAATAAAACTTTGGGCCTGCCGGTGGGTCCTGGCCATTTATGAAGGTTAAGAAACATTCATCATATTATGTAATTTAAATTACAAACTTTTCAAAGTTACTGTTTTTGTGTTATCTTTGATTGGAGGGTAATGACTTGCTTGGGAAAAATAATATTAACCAATTATATTCCACTACCTCTTCCTATCATCCAGAGAAACACAGCTCAGAGATCCTCTATGACACCAGGTTTCACTCTGTAATACATCATGGTACAGAAGCATAATGTATTATGATTTCCAATTCACACTGACTTTAAGGTTATATTCGAAACAAATCTTCAATAATAAATGTATATATATACATATATATATATATATATATATATATATATATATATACACATATTAAAGTCAGTGCACATAAAATCTTCTCTTGTTGGATAATCTTGATTATAGGGCTCAACTTGTCTAACTAATTGGAAAATCACACCGGAGACACTCCCAGTAGAGTGTGTCCTTAACTAGTCATTACCTTCCTCTGGCAGAGCTCCATGGTGCTGTAAAATCAAGCTGACTCAATGGAATTTCTCACAAAAGAAGTCCAGACAGAAAACTCTGTAATGACTGTATCATCACAGGAGACTGTAAACATGTAATGTTAATCATTAATGAAACATTCAGGGGATATTTCATGATTGGCAATTGCCTCTTGCAACAAGACTTCCTCTTGTTGTAGGTGCGTGAGTAAGCACATAATGATGGTTTTATAAATTAAAGGTTAGGATTTTATAATAATTATATAAATACACTTACAACTGCTAATGATTACAAAAAGAAGACAATGAAGAAGAGTGTTCATTAATTTTATAAACTTTGACATCTTACGATGTCTATGTTGTTGCCTTGTAAAGGTTTACACTTTGACAGCAGCATTTTTTTGACAGTTGTATCATTTTTTACAGTTCTGTCACATTACTTTCATACTATGAGAACACAATCTGAGTAGTACTAAAATTCTTGTACTTATGATGGAATGCACTTACACTTCTATGTTGGCTATTCACACACTTAGAAATAAAGGTTCTGTGCAGGTACATTCTTCACTCATCAAGGTACAAACGACGTAAATGTACCCTCAAAGGTACAACAGTGGTTTTAAGGTCCAATTGTGTACCTTACATGAGTTTTTTGCAGTGCACATTTGTACCTTTTCATAACCTAATATTTAATAATAAATAAAAAGTCTGGAGATGAGACAGGGTGTGTGGAGTCAATACCACTTTATTATTATAAAGTTATGGTACAATTATGTTCCCTGACTAAAGGTACTGAGATGTACCACCCCAGTGACGAGAGAGGTACCGCCCCAGTAACAGTTTCATACTTTTTTCTGAAAGTGCACAGCAACTGTCTTATTTTCCACTGCATTGGTGTTGTATATCACAAATTATTATCTTGATTAACTGTGTCGATGGAAGAGTTACTATTTGTCATTTCATTTGTTTAACTAACTTATCGTAAGCTAAAGCTTGAAGCTACATTCTGATTAAAGCAATGAAGGCCTACAAATGTCATGCTTTGAGCTGCAGAAAGCACTCTAAAGCACAATGCATTTTTGATGAGAATGTGAATCAAACTCAATCAAATCCGGCTAATTACCATACATTGTTACATACATAATTATCATATTTGGTATATTCATTTGATGCAGCTTAAGTGGTATGGTGTTGTAAACAGGGTATGTGTTTCACACGCTTGATTATGATGATCTATTTGAGCTGTATTGGAATTTAGAAGTTCTATTTCAGTTATTTTGTCATGGACATTACACTGGTATGAATAATCAGAAGTGACAGGGAAAACAATTCAACTAATTGTAGGATTCACTGAGGTGTTGAAACTCATTAAGAGTAAGACTCCATGACAAAATACAAAGGTGTAGTAGTAATTTCATGCAGAAATTTCCATGCCTTGATGATGGCAAACAATGATGGTCTAAGTGTGAGACAAGTTTACTTAATCCACAAGCAGGATGTGCTGCATCTGGCAGGCTTGCTTTTGGTGCCAAGACAGCAGAAGCTTTTAGAAAACAATGTCACAAGAGTAAAAAACGTAGAACATGTTTTCAATGTTCTCTTCCAGCAATCCCAAACTAAGTTCAGTGGTGGCTATTTCACCATTTCTGTAGTTCTTAACTGTGAATTCTATGCATATTTTGAAACCCTTGAACAATAGTTAAACTCAGTAGTAAGTCCAGCTATGATCAAAACACATTTTGTGACAAGTTAATTCAAACTCAAACAATATAAGGACAGGCAAGGAATGCTTAAATGAAATGAATGGGATGAATAAAGTTCTCTTTTCCATTGTGTGGCTGAGTTCCAGATTAATAACAGTGCAGACATGTGCGCTTCGCTCGCTGAAAACTGCACAGTAAAGCGATTAAGGAATTACAAATCAGCAGATTAATCTGACTTGAGGCTTTCTTTCAGTTCACTCCATAGAAACATGTTTCGCAGTGACAGGACCTCGGCACTGATGTTTAATTGGATTAAAATGTCTCTAGCCTGGGTCCAAAGCAGGTGATGGAGTCATCTTGAAGTAACTTTAAGCTGTAACAGTAGTGGAGTACTGTTTAAGGGCAAAACTCAAGGAAGGGGGTTAGACAGTGTTGTATCTTGGGAGGAAATGAGGAAAGGTATTTTCTTTTTGGGTTTTGCATATTCTTTTCAGCCCAGAGGCAAAAGGTAGGGTGGTCAACTAAGCTGGCTTCAGAATTTGATATTTTTTCTACTGGTCATGCAGCAAAACAATTAGACATTGTCTCTCTTGTCGCCAGGTATCAATTTACAAACCATAACCAAGTGCTAGGTAGCGGTCTACAAACAACATTAACTAAGAAGAGAGCCGGCTGCATTGGACCATCCATTCAGGGTGCCAAACCTGCTGATGCAGCAGATATCCGCAGCACAGAGTGCGCTGTTGGACAGGCCGTGGACAGACGTCCATCACTGACATGCTGAATATGGACAGGCCGGCTTCCACCAGGCTGGGACGAGTCGCAGCCAAATCCGACCCCCACCTCTCCTGTGTCTCCTCTCATCCGTCTCTCGACCCCCCTTTGCCCAACGCTCTGGAAGAAGGGACGAATTTTGCCCGAATGGAGTTAATTGTTGCCGGGGCTGGGCCTGTCAGCTTAATGAGAGGATTCTGCAGAGTGCCTGCACTTTCCCTCTCCCTTTTCTCCGAGAACGCTCCAGAGTGGGAGCAAGAAGGGAAGAAATTGAAGCAGACAGGGCTGCGGCGGTGAAGATTGACCTGTAAAGAAGACTCAATCAGTGCAGTTAATGGGCGTCGGCTGTGAAGGGTGCGTGGCAGGAAAAAGGGGCAGGGGTGGGAGGGGGGTGTTGAAGACTAAGCAGTTCAGCATGAGCCGAGCGGCCTCGCAAAAGCATGGCTGAGGATAAAATAAAATGTTCTGACTGGGATGTTGTGACTAATGAGACTTAAGCCATAGTCACATGTTATATCATTCCCATTCTAAGAAAAGAATGGGAG